CTTGTCCAGGATCCTCTTTTTCCTTTCAGAATGGGAAATTCAGGCGTGGGTCAGAAAAGGACTCACTTGTTGTACTGTTGCCCTTTAGTGCTACCAGTCTGCTGAAAGAGCCTGCTGAGAGGCTATGGAGGCCAGACACAAGCATTTCTGTCTCCCGTGTCTCCCTCTCTCTCTGCTCCATGAAGGTCACTTCTGCATTTTTGCAGAAAGGAAGCACTCAATTTGGTCCCTGTCCACAGGCCTTGCCCATAAACCTAGGAAATGGGACCGTATAACGTAGGACCAATTGCATAAGCAGTTGCGTACTCTTTTCACTTAGGTGGCTTTCCCAGGACACCAGCTCAGCTTGAATACTGGATACTAACAAAGCTGCATCTATTTTACTTGGCAACAGGCTTGGGAAATTGGTTTGCTAAGAAATAGTGTATTTTATCTTAAAAGTAGAGTGACTTTACTTATTTTTTTGCTACATAAAGCAGTGATTAAAGAAAGAAAAGCGCCAGTAAAGATGATATGTGCCAAGGAATTTGAGTAGTTACATAGTACAGGACAGACTTGTTTTTAATGTTTTGATACACAGCATAACACTGACAGTAATCCATTAAATATGGTGATGTGAGGAGTCTGAAGTTCATGCATTTTGTTTTGCTCTACACATACAAATAATGTACTAAGGTTTTTGAAAGAAGAACCATGACTAGATCATAGATAAGTTTAAAATCTGTTTCTGGTTAATGCTGGCAATTATTGCATTTGTTACAAAGCAGAAATCGGGCTTTGGTCAAAGTCAGCCTTTTTCATTCACTTGAGTAGTTAATGGTGCTAGTACAATGTAAACTGAGTAGGATTTGACTCTGACATTCAAGCCCAAGCTACTCTTTTACAATTACCCGCTTCTGTTTCCATCTCTTCCTTGTAAGCAGTAAATCTTTCTGGGCATTTTATTATACTTTTCCAAATGTTGTCAGAATGTGCCAAGTACAAGTCTAGAGTTTCTTCTTGCAGCGCAAGAATTTAGCAGTGAAAGTTTCCATATATTTATGCAAACACAGATGCAGGTTTTTAAATAGCTGGTAGTGCTTATGTAAAGATATGGAAACATTTGAAAAATTTTTTCTGTGCATTGCTTCAGCTCCAATTAATTTGTGTTTTCTTTTGGGAAAATAATATTGATTTTTAAAATTGGAATGCTAGTTCAAAACCCTTCAGCTGCTGTAATAGAGTATTTCCTTCAGGATGAAGGGTCAGAATTATGGGCTTGATCCTGCCTCTGCTGAAGCCAGTGGTTAAATCCCTAATTACCCTCTACTGCAGCCAAGATCAAGCCTCCGCTTTTGGAGAAGGCTATCTTGAGCAGTCAGTAATCCTTAATCTCTGATTTAAAGCACTTCCATTTGGTAAAGTTTTAGTTCTGTTTCAAGCCTGGAGCCATTTAGCTGAAACTGTATTTGATACACTTTCTGGATGCTTGTTTTCTGAGTCTGCTTAGGACTTTGTTCTGTATTTTTAAATGCGAAAGAATATATTTGTTTTTGCCACGTCTCTAGGTTGTTTTCCTACCATGTTTTTGGAAAACAAGAGCTGCCTGTGGAAAGATGCTATTTCTACATGCAGGTCCCTTAACGCGATCAGGTGTGTTTGAGGAAGATCTGTGAAAGGCTTAAAGCACTTGAAAAATGTTTTTGAGCATTTGAGTCTGAGAATTTATTTTAAAGGGAACACTTACAAATAATCAGATAGCGTGTATGTTTCGTACCCTAGATGTTGAGCTCTGAAAAGGCATTAAAAAGCATGCAGGTTGACCTGGGTAGTGTGATACTAATAGTGAAAAAGAATATTTCTGGAGGTTCCCCCATCCATAACGTAATAAATTTGTCATAGGATTTGTTTAAAAAATGAAATAAAAAGAAAAATAATTTAAACAATAGGTTCTGTTCTAGAAATTCACATTTTTATCATTGACTCAGGTTTTTTTCTATTCAAGGTTTTTGCTGCAACAAAGTAGTAACACGCTTTTTCTTAAAGAAGAGTATGAGTACATATTAGTACTCTCATAAGAACTCTAGAAGTCAGTTATAAGTAGAACATTAACTATTGTAAGATTTGCAGTAAAAATAATGAGTTGGGAATGGTATGTACATTTAACAATGGTTTGCAAAATCTGAAGACCTTTACCTCAAAGTACATATTTAGTGCCAGATTGAGCAGTTGACTGTGAAGTAAGTATTCCTATTAGCTTTCTTTAGTAGTCTTATGATATGTTCCATGTATTTACAAGTAATGACCAACCAGTTATGGAGAAAGTAATCAAATAATTCCAAGGCATATTATTTCATGAGATCTTTACTGTGGTCTTAAACAGGGAAAGTTGCTACTGAAGTTAAAGGTCTTTTCCCTCTCTTCCTTCTGACTGCTCTACTTTGCCTTTCTTTCACATATTTTGCCTGAGGCCCAGAACAGATGTATGGGGAGTAGGGGTATGCTATCAGCCATTTTTCTGATGGTGTTTTCCTCCTGTGAGTCTGCAAGATGTCTGCTAGAGACTCTAAGACTGCGTTTAGAGGTGAATAGACCTGCTTCAAATATTGAACTTTTGTGCCCATCACCCAGCCACTCCCCCCCCCCAAAAGAACTGGTAGAAAAAGTAATCCTTTTCACAGAATCCCTGAAGAGGTTATCGTAAAGTCAAGGAAGTACTAATAACTCTATGCAACAGTATTAAAAATAGGGCTGATCCAGTTACCTAGGAAAAGCTTTTGCACAGCTCTGATTCTAGCAGAGACCCCAGGGGTGGAGCAGAGCAAAGAAAAGGGTCAGGGGATTCTTTCCCTCTGCCATTTCTTCTTTGGGATTTTCCTGTAACCAAAGGAAGCATTAATGTCTGTGTTCTGCGACAGATGCTCATTCCCTCATGCAGTTTCTTCGGATCCTGTTCTCTGTTCTACAGAAACAAAATACCTTTGACGTACTTGGAGATGGTATTATCTCCAGGAGATGACGAGGCTGAGGTGTTTTTTTTTTTTTTTCCTGTGTTAAACTCTGGTTAGCACTCAAGGGAGCCGCTATACATGCGTCAAAGGGAGAACTGTATCTTAATCCAAAAATAGTCCCTGTTTTGTCTGCCCAAAGAGCTAATGTCTTCCTGTTCCTTGTTAATAACTGGTACTTTAAGTCTTCTAAGGTCGACCTACTAGCTTGTGTTTTTAGAAGGAAGCCTCTAAGACTTTTTCAAAGCTATAATTTCTGTATGATGTCCCTGCTGGGAAGCATGATGGGAGCTGACCTCTGTGATATGCAGGATTTTCTTTCTTTGCTTGTTGAAGATGAAATGCTGCTTATCTGCCAGTTCTATATCTATCCCACATGAACACATATGCCTCTTCTGCAACAATGTGCAGAAGGCTGTTTTCATCAAAACTTAGCATGTTTGCCCTTTGGATTAAAAATAGAAGTAGTTTCAGAAATGCAGAGGCTGGGCCTCTCTTCTAATCAGAGTTAAGATGGAGTCTCAGGCTTCCCATATGTTAGAATTTGATCTTGTTTGTAATATTCGTCCTAATAAGTGAAAGCAGTCGAAAGAACTACTGAGTCATCTGTAAATACAAACTGATGGGTTTGACAGGGTTTCCTTAAGTCAGTGGACCCCTAAAAGTTACCAACCTTTCTGGGCAGTATTGTTTTCCTTATGTAGCCTCTTCCACATGGGAAACTGTAATTACGGTAAGCATTGTCAATGTGTTTCATGCTGTCCTGTTGTCTTTTGGAAATTCAGTTGTTTGTATAGACCCATGAGAAAAAGCTACCTTTCTCCTGCACTTTAGCTGGAGCAAAAAGCAAAGCAGAAGATAAAGGACATGCATTTCCCCCTTCAGACATACTTACTCTTCCACTATCCTTACTGCAGAGGCTGGAGAAAACTCTCCAAGACAATGCTGCATGGCTTCCTGTATCTTAGTTATTCTAGGCAGAGATCAGTGGAGAGATGCTTTCTGTAACCCAGTTAATACTGATATGGAAGTTGACGCTTTTCCTTTCAGCACTATACTGTTTCAGATGTCTCAGCCTGTTCCCTTGATATCTTTGAGTGTCTCACTTTCCTCTTTATCCTCAAGTTGATTAAAATTGGAATCCTGATCTTGCCTTATGAAATCAATACATGAAATGGATACGTGGTTGCCATAGTTGGCTAATGTCTTATAGGCATCTTAGATGAAGTGTGCTTTCAGAAGTAATGTAAAGGAGGAAGTAGTCATGTGTTTAGGGAACACATCAGAAGAGTACATCCCATGGATAACAGTGAGGGGGAAGAAAGACATCATCATGGGAGAAGTGATAATTGGCACACCACATTGCTCTAATAGGTGAATGAGGTCACTCAATAGGATGAAGGCAGAAAAGAGTGGAATAAAGGTACGTGATGTTGACAGCAGTCTCAAGAGATTTTGTCCTTGTGGAGTGAAAAGGGAGCCAGGTCAGTGAAACAATTTGAGAAGGATGCAGCTGGCTCAGAGCAATAAAACTATCTGGTAGTTAGGAGCAGCATGAGGATATGGGGAAAACAAGCTGGGAATTTTTTCATGAAAAAAGAGTGGAAGGGATGACGCGTAGAAGGAAGCATTTTCAACTAAGAAGAATGCCTCTTATCTCACGCTTTCTCTGTTTATCCACCTGTACTGTGTTCTAGGCCAGAATTATATTTTCTCCTCTGGAAGGTGCTTTGCATGCTACAAAAGTAGTAGATAGCATACAGTAGGCTATTACTGCCTGTATAATAACAGTCTAGATTTAAAGTAATAAAGCAGCTTTTCCATCTGTAAATAGGCTTCCACTAAAATTACGATTCTTGTATGTATGAAAAGTCCGTGTGTTTTTTCTTCTACTGCAAGTTCTTTCCTCTACTAAATGAGCAATGAGAGAATACTTTCTAGTTTATTATTTAAGTCAGCCAGGCCTCACTCTAATGGAGAGTTATTTATCTTACAGTTGGTATTTACAAACAGGAGATGCTCCAGAAGAATGCCGTCTTGGTGGATGGGGTTGTCCTAAATGGTCCAATAATGGACTTGAAAGCAGGGGAGAAGTTTGTGGAAGAGGCCTGTAAAATTATAATGGAAGAAGTAATCCAGAAAGCTGATGATGTGACAGAGAAGGTAAAGTCTTAGTGTTTTTGAAAATTTGTGACAGATATAATGAGCAATAAATCTGATTTTTCTAAGCTGTATTTTATTGTGCTTTAGAAGGCATCAAAATTGCTTTTAGTGTGTGGCTGCCTTTGAAATAAAGATATCCTTCCAAATCAAAAAAGATATTATAGAACCATCTAATAACATAATTGGCATACATATTTGCAAGAAAACTTTTTTCATCTCAAAGTACAGTGGTCACTCTGGGTTGACAAATAGGTGCTTTTTTGTGTTGGGGGGGATTTTGTTTGCTCCTTAGGAGCAAACTACATTAGAGAAGGAGGAACAGTGGATGTGGCACCACTGAACAGACATTATGAGCTTCCTCTGGGTTTCATGGAACCTCTGCTTATGAGGTATATGTATTGAGGTGTATGTATTTGGAGAGGTGCTGAAATGAAGCACACTTGCCTGGAGGTGTGCAGTGGTTGCTCTCACCCCTTGGCAGAACAGCACCTGAAAATTCTTCGCCTTTAGCTGAGGACAGAATTTGACTGCAGGCCCCTTGCTCCTAGCTAGGATATACAAATCATGAGCATGGTAGCTTGGTTTTCAGGCTCCATGCTGACTTTTTACATCCCAGCATGCCAGTGGGCACACTTTCTCCTCTTCAGTCTTTTTCCTTCCAGCCTTCCCTACCCCAGTTCTTATTCAAGGCCAGGGGATGCCTGAGATGCATGCCTGAGATGCAGTAAAACCTGAGATCCCGATGAGACCATTTTGCCAGAGATCATCTGGTGGCGTGCTGCACTCCAATGGGCAGTTTTCTGAAACCAGTGCTGACTGTGGTGCCTGCATAGTATCTTTAGAACTCTCTTCCTCTTGGATAACCTGGTCATTGCTGGTGTCTCCTCCCTCCCCATCATTAGGTTTGTGAATGGCGGGCCCCTGAAGCTCTGAAAACGATTCTTGATCTGGAAATGAGGGACACTGGAGAATCTCATCAGAAGCTCTTGCAACTCTGCCAGGATGTTATACAATACAGCGTCAAAACCAGTAGGAATTTGATTTCCAGTGATGTATTTTGTTCTACAGTAATATAGAACAGCAGGATAATTTAAACAAATTTTTGTTACCTTTCAGGAAACCAGAGGTGTTAGTTTTCTGCCTGCCATATACAAGTATGCAAATATTTGGTTGTACTTCAGCTGTTTGACTGAATGCTTGTCACCAGAGGTGTCTGTGGTTGGCTGAAATGTGTAATCGTGGCAAACCAATCAAACTAATTCCTATAGTGCTTAAGCATTGTCATTAATGGTAGATTCAGCCACCCTGAAGTCTTGTGAAAGTTCTCCAGACAGGTCTGGTATAACAGTATAGCCGAACAAACAGGAGAAAGACCTTTGTGTGTGACTTCCTACTGTCTGAGTAATGAGGAGTAAAGTCACTATCACTGACCTTACACAAATCCGGATGCATTCTTAGCGGTGATCACGCTACACTTACTATTGCTCTCTATTGAGCAACAGTCTTGTAGGGTGTTAGTTTCCTGATGGGCAGCAATTTCTGCTCCAGACAGTGTGAGAAGAGTATGCAGTGTTTCAGAGACTATACATCGACTCCTTTGCAGGATTAGTGCTTTACAGCTAAGCTTTCTGCAACATGTACTGTATAATTAGATCTTAGCAAAAAGATGAATAATATCTGTTCAGGAAATAGTATAGCGTATAAGAAGCTCTGAATTTCAGATGTGGCATCGCTTAGGCTGTGTTTTGGAAAGTGTGAAGGACACTTGATATAATTAGTTGCCCATTTCCTGGGCATGTTCCCTGCCACAGTCACTGTTGCTGCAAAATAAAACCATAGCACAATTTTGAGAGTAAACTCACACACATTACTGATCTAAAAGGTCAGTGCACTAATAATATGCAGATATCATTAGTGAGTTACTGGAAGATGTTCTGTTTCTTACTTTTGTAAATTGCCTTCAAATTTTTGTTTTGTTATACTATGTCACCTTAGAAAGACATTAAAAATATGCTTTGCAAATAATTTTTCATACAAGTATAAACATTTATGAAAGTCTCAGGTATAGTATGTGTTAAGTTATACAGCTTACCCTCTTTAGCCTATGAAAGCACCTTGCTGTGGGTTAAAATTTAATTAATGACCCCACTGCTGAACTGGTTTACTTTAATAGCCAGCAATAGACTGGAATTCTCTCATAGCTTAGTTATATTCCAGCGCTTCAAGGCAGCTAGACACCTTCTGTGAACTTCTCATGTTAAGTCTACAGCAAGATTTTTGCAAACTCCTATACTGCCTCATCTGTCCATATTGAGACTTTTGTGGGGATCGTGAGCACAGCTGCCTGGAATCAGCAGGTTCCTGTGTTCTGAAGCTTAGCAAAACTTGGCTGAATGTCCATTGTGGCCTCAGTAGACCACAGTTAGCAGCTGTGTGTACTCAGTTGTCAATCACTTTCTTTTTTTGATTTGTAAACCTTATGAACAACCCACATTCATTCTATGCACTAACAACATCTCCCCTTGTTTCGGGGCCAGAAAATGCTTTTGAATTGTACTTTCAAAAGACTATCTAGCCCAAGAAAAGGAAAGCAAGTCCAGAAAATACTGAGAGAATGATGGAATGGTGCTTTGCAGAGATCTATGTTCAGCTGCGAGGGCTTGTGATATGTTTTGTTTTCATGCATGTTCTATCAATGCTTGCTTTTCATCTTTATATTTTTCAGGTCATCCAAGATTTTTCAATCAGCTATATGCTGGAGTAGATTATTACTCGTTAGTGGCTCGTTTCATTACAGAAGCACTGAACCCAAGTGTGTAAGTATACTTCTTAGATGCATCACCAAGAGGATATGCTATTTGCATTTACAGCTTTTTTTTTTTCTTCTGATTTCTGTTTTCAATGTTATGGAGGAGGTAGGAATTATGCAGGAATTTAGGAAAGAAAACAGACTGGGTTGGCTGAATAGCTCACCAGAAACTCAGCAAAGCTGATGAGGCCTTTTTTCTAGTTTGTGAGGTGGGGATTAAGAGGAAAGATTTGTTTAAACTCTTTTAAACCTAGACTTTTTTCAAACTTAGTGAATAAAAGATTTTATCACAGTTACTCAAGTGTTCATTTCTCTTAAAGTCCTCTACACAGAGTTGAATGCAAATGGCTACCTGTCTATAGTTTACTTTTAGATGTAAGACCTAAACAAAAATGGAACTGTTGCTTGCAATAGGTTAATAAAGCTGAAACTTAAGCATGGAACCTACGTTAAACTCGAACACTGTTTTACTTTGACAGTGGAAGTATCAATGTGATGCTGTTGGGAACTAAGCAATTGCTCTACTGCATCAGATCCGTGCTATATTTAGTTTAGAGTTTTACTGCTGATGTTGTCACTTCTCTTGCATCAGAGAAAGGGGCAATAAATCTCTGTACTTAATTTTAGCAGCGTTCAGTGGCAGGGGTTCTATGGTTTTAAAACCAATCACGATGCTTTTGTTTGTTCAGATATACATATGAAGTATCTCCTGTGTTTCTGTTAGTGGAAGAAGCGGTCATCAAGAAAATGATTGAATTCATAGGCTGGGAAGAAGGTGATGGCATATTCAACCCAGGTAAGAACACTTTAGATTTTCAACTGGAGTTACAAACCAACAGGAACAGTAATTCTATGAACATTTGATTCATGTAGAATATTTGGAAATGCTTGCAAAATACAATGATGCACAAATAAAATTATTTCATCCAGGCTTTTCTTACGTGTTTCTAGTAATAATTCTATAAACCTAATCAGCAGCTGAATGAAAACAGTTCTTACATAATTATTTTTCCAGTATAGAATTAATTCTCTAACTGCAGCCCTTCCTGACTGCTATTAACAACAACAGCAACAGCTTTACTGGACTGAGTCATTGATTGAGGGTTAGGGAGCTGATTTAAGTAATAGATGCCAGCCAGTGGTGTGTGAGGGCACTCTGTGTATCCTGTCACCTGTTGGTGCTACAGTTTATCTTAGTGGGAGTATCATGAGCTTAACTCCTTTGAATACAACTGTGTTTTGAAATGTTATGAGCAGGCAAAACAAGCAAATATTTCTTAAGCTTCTTGATAAGGCCAGTTTTTGAACTCTCTGTAAAGGAGTATTCCAGCACAATGTATGGTAATGAAGCATAACGATGATATTTCCTAGATTATTCCTATACTAAATTATTAGCTTAAATGTGAAACTTTCCCACCTAGTTTGGGAGAGGGGGAAGTAATTACATGAGTAAATGGTTTTAACCCCCTTCTCCCCTTCTAGTAATTCTATCCTACATGTACATAGCAGGAAAATAAGTAAAATAGAATGCACTGGAAAACCTTTGAGGTAAAATATATTGAAACTATGAATTATTTTTGCTTCAGATTTTGATGTGTATTTTCAGTAAACTCATTGGTTTTACTGCAGAATTGTTTAATTCAAACTTACCAAGATCCTGTCAAAATACATACTTTTGTGCTAGTTTTTTCTAGTTTTTTTACAATTTTTTAAAACTACTTTATTTTTGTTCTTTTAAGTGAAGAAACTATCCAGGTCCTTGGGCTTCCATTTATGCTGCAGAAATTCCAGTTCCTTCCCCCCTCCCCCCCCCCCCCAATACTCTGAGACATGGTTGCTCAAGATACTTCTCTGTCAGGGTGGACTGTTGGGTCACAGTTCTTTGGGAAGCATCCTCAAAGAGGATTCAAACCCACTCTATTTCCATGCATGCTGCAGAGCCCAAAGTTTCTTTCTTTAGGCTTTTGTGGAGGAAATAAGCTATGATGGATGTGTCTATAGGTTCATTCTATGACTTATTTTTATTTTTGCTGATCAATCAGACACAGGAGGGGTGCTAGGACTGTAGCTAACATGATGTTTGTGTGTCTATTTCTACAGGTGGCTCTGTTTCTAATATGTATGCTATGAACTTAGCCAGATATAAATTTTGTCCTGAAATAAAGGAAAAAGGGCTTTCAGGCTTACCAAGACTGGTCCTGTTCACTTCAGAAGAGGTAAAAACAAAACCAAAAAGCTTCTGTTTTCATTGTAGAACTTCTAACAGTGAACTTTGTTTTTCAGTGGATGCAAAATTATCTCATTTGACTGTATGTCATGGGGCCCTGGTACAATAAATTTGTCATCAGTGTGTGATAATGAAGCATGGGAGCTATATGGAGAAGTCTGGTCAATTTACCTGCAGAAGCTCCCTCCCTGGCAGAAGGGAAACACAGTGGTCTTGCTCCTCAACTGAGTTGAGCAAACTTCTGATCCAAGAATGGGTGGTACCTGAGGCCAACCTGAAGTAGAATGCATGTGGGACGTTGCGAAGATCTGCTGCACTCTATTTTCAACAGCATAATATCTACCAGAAACCATATGTAGGTTTTGTATGTCAAAGTTCTTTTCTTGCAGCTTTAATTCATTCTGAGCTGAGCAGCTGCGAACCTGTAAGATGGTTCTCTGCAGCTCCCACTCTGCCCTATGTCTGAATGCAGATAGGCTGTGGTAGTGAACCAAGCCTAGCGTAAAGCATTTGGGCAAAACCTGCTGGATCCTTAGACAGCTCTTTAAATAATTGAAAATATCTGACTAGTTTTAAAGTTTTTGAATAAAATCTATCCAAACTACCTGTGGGAAATAGGTATGTTCGTGTATTTCTTCTCAAGTTAATCTTCTTGGAGACTCTTTTCTTTCACCTGTCCCTCCAACTTTAAGAGTTTGATTGGATTAGCCCAGAGAGGTTATTACTTCAGACTCCACTATCTGAAAGTCCCAATGGAGTTCAGGACCTTATTGTACTAGGAAGTATATATTTACTAATGTAATCTTAGCTTTTAAATTTATGCCCTAAACAGTTTGCTGTGTAAATGGAAGACAGGGTTATTCTGGTGGGGCCTGAGGGATATAAGCACTGCATGAGTTGTCTAAGACAGTACATGCATTTTTGGAACTGAATCCTGATGTGCTAAATAAAGTGAACTTTTTTCAGGTAAAATGTTTAGTTTTTTTCTTTCTGAAAATTGTGTATATTTAAGGATATGACAGTTCATGTTTAATCCATCACATCATATTTTTTTCCCCTTAGCTTTTTTTAAAGATGAAATAAAGTTGAAACATTTTACTTCAATGCTTTTGAAATGAAGAACATATATTTTTCATCATGAAGTAATAATACTTGATTTCACTGCAAGATTTAACTAAAAAGTACACTTACAGCAAAACAACCAACCAATTTCAGGACAAATGAAACTTTATTTGACTCCCAGAATGAGTTTATTCTGGTATCTTTGTTTTGCCAGAAAGACCAAAACCATAAAATGTAGAATTAACCAGGAAAAATAAGTCAATAATTAATTGTAAGGGTAATGCTCTTGATCTGCGATATTTTGCTTGACTTGCAAAACCATGTTGTCCTTGGTATTCGGTAATCATTTGCTGTATAGCTGCCCCTTCTAGTATGTAGCTACGTATTCATATTGTCTAGGAGCTCTAGTGTTTCCTCCCAGTTATGAGGAAGGGGATGTGCATCTTCATGAATCCTTATTTTAGATCCACTTGTACTGAGTCCAAATTATGCTACCTTTTGGAAGTTGGTTTAGTTCAGATATGCTTTATTGAGAATATATTTTAAAAACAGCCTGCAGTAAAAATAAGCATGTAAGTTCTCTTGTCACACTGTCTTCACTTATTTGTTTTTAACTGAGGCTTTTATTTGGCATTTTGCATTTCTTTGTACTGAAGAATTAGCTGGAGGACAGAGACCTGCTTTGCACTGGACAGGCAAACAGTAAAAAACTGTCCTGAAAAAGTTTCATCCCATGTTTAGTTTCAAAGTAGATAAGACAAACAGTGTTTGCATGGAGAAGCCATGATGTTAAAATCATCTGAGAGCATTGATAAGAAGGAATCAAAACACTGGCTGCTCAAGGACCTCATCTCATTTTAGGGCTTGGTTTCAACACTGGGTTCCATGTGAAATTACTTTTGCTTTGAGTTGCTAGATCCCAAAATTTCAGTCTGGTATTTGACATAGTACTGATTCTTCTTCTGCAAGAGGTGTTGTCTTGCTGTAAGGCGGAGGAATGTATAGGCTGGTCAGTGACTTAACTTTGTGATCTGGTGCCGTTTTTAGTATGTTCTTGGGTAACACAAAGGTGGACACAATCCTGTGCAATGTGCTCTTGGTGACCTGCATGAGCGAGGTGGTTGGACTAGATCTCCAGAGGCCCCCTCCAGCCTCAACCATTCTGTGATTCTGTGTATGTTTAATGTGACTGACCCAAGCTCCTTGCATATTCTGGTTTGGCCTTCAACAAGAAAAGGCTCCTTGTTCCTGCAATAATGAAATTATAAGAAATTGTAAGCGGTGTCCTAATCTAATGCAAGTAAAATGTTTTAGCTACTTAAAATTACAGTGATATGCAGTGAAAATGTTATGCTTCTACTCAGTAGTTCCCTTGCTGGACCATTCCCCCATGATTCCTCTTGAGATAGTGGCAATAGTAGTAGAGAAATTATGCTCTGCTTTCCTGAGGCATGATTAGTGTTTCTGTAACATCTGAATACAGATGTAGTTGTAGATGTCAGCCTGCCTTGTTATCACCTTTGGCTATGTGTGAGTCCAATTTGAACTTTATTCTGACCCAAGAATGTATTGCACTGATCTGAAAAGTAGGACTTGCTCGATTTGATATAACTGGGAGTGAAGAGGATGTGTAAACAGTCGAATGGTACATGGCTGCTGCTGAGCAGTTTTTCAGATGTGAAGAAACTAAATTCCTCCCCAGTGCAACTTGATCATGAAAATAACAAAGTAGAAGATGACAATATTAAGTTGCCCTTGTCCCCACTGAAATTACAACAGGCAAAAGCGAGTAACAAACAATCTTATGATAATATAATTGCTCTTTGCAATCAGGTTTCTAGGAAACTTTTCAAAATCAAGAAAACTTATCTTTTATTTTAATGAGCACAGGGGCAGATTACCTTGTCCTTGCAAGGCTGTTAGGGAAAAGAAAACTGTCCAACTATAGTTAATACTATACTACAGTAGCACACCTTAAATACACTGTTTCAGTTTAAAGACATTCACTTTTCACTGCAAATGGCTACAGATTTTAATGTGTCCAAACAAGCAAGCCCCCAGAATACATGGAATGAGTAACTTGGCCTCTTAGTGTTAAGAATTATTACTTAAAATTATTTATATAATGCAAACAATATTTTTTCTCAGGATATTTTTCTTCCTTTTGGAAAGGGAACTATGAACAAGTGAATTAGTTAAAACTTTGAGTGGAGCTGCTGTATGTTCTCAGGTATATTTTTGCTTAAAATGGTGCCCTGTAATTTAGTATAACAGAACTTCCATTAATGATAGCAAAAAAGAGGAAATTCTTGTGTGTTTTCAATAAAATTGAAAGAGTACCTTTTTCATCAGAGTAGGCATGCTATAAGTCTATGTTGTAGTACAACTCTTGTCCCTTTTCTGTCCCACTGAAGACTTGCAATTTTTTTCAAGGGGAGCAAATGTACTCATAAAGGCAAGAAATAATGTATCTTACAACCTGTTTTGTTTTGTTATTCCATTTATTCCTCCTCTTCCCTCTGCTTTTTGGTATCATTTCTTAAATGCTCAATTTTTTGCAAGTCTACTGCTTCTGAATTTGGAGTAATCTGATTATTCAGTGTAATATCTTTCATCTGAACCTAATGGACAGAAATCAGTCCTAGAGGTTCCTTGTATTTTGAATTGTTCACAAATCAGTGGAAACTCTTTCCAAACTTCTGAGCAACACACAACCACTCTACAAACAATATTGCAACTTATTGATGTAATTTGTTGTAATGTAAGTCTAATTATTCATCTATACCTATTATTATTCTTGTAACAGTCTGAATGAATGAGTCCTAAAGGCTTTGTGAATGTGTCGTGTTAGAATATTAAGCATTCTTAAGACTACCTGATACTATCGAGTAGTATCTTTGTATGCGTTTATTTAAAAAGTTGGTGATGGTGGGGAAAACGCTTTTGTCAGAAAAGCCCTTTGAGATGATCCAGCTCATCAAAATAAGTATGACAGGTTTGAATACCTGTAATATATTCATACTCACACATTAAACTGTTGTACATTTTTCATAATTATATTCCTCATAACTGCATTTGTGTGAACTCTCTGGAAGAAAATGGATTTAATTAACCACCTGGCTTCACCTCCTGTATGAAAAGAAACAATGCTAGACATCTTCACGGTTGCTGGAATACGAATTATTTTAACTCTTCAGTAATGTGAAAAAAACAGGTTGTATTTTTGGAAAGAGCAATGATAACTCAGGCTTGGAAGAGCTTGATTCTGCAGAGAACTGTGTAGTCTTGTGAGATGCTGAACGGTCTCAAAACTGACTCCATTGCATTTGGCATTCTGTAGGTTGTTCATGGTGGCTTTAACATGTAAAAATGAATCCAGGTTAAGATAGTTATTGTATCTTGAATTCCCAGGCTAGTCTTAAAGGTGGATTAATGTGTGTGAGATCAAGATACTCCTATTCTGGAATAAGACAAGATATTCTTATTCTAGAATAAGAATATCCCAAAATTAAGGGGCAGATCCTAACTTAAAAAGGTGAATGTTAGAAGTATGCTAAGATAGAAGACCTTGAATATTTTTTAACAGAAAAAAAGTTATACAGAGTACTGAATGGACATGTGGACTGCAGTCTTAGTAAACACCCATTTTTAACGTCCCTTTGAGCAAACAAAGTGGCCTCTATACTTTTCCACCCACTTGGCACGCTTCTTCCGCTAATGCCCTTTATTCAATGCAGTGAGAAGTGGGTTGTGTGATGTGTGTAATTATCCAATGATATTTCTGTGATCAGAGCTAACTAAAATTCTTTACTGAAGTAATAACTATTTTCTGGAAAATGCAGGCTGGTCTAAGCTGGAACTTTTTGCAAAAACAGGATTGACTTAAAGCATTTAAAAGAGATGCTACTAAGTCTGATCTCAAGTCTACTTGCTTTCATAGTGGCTTCTAAGATCCAAATTCCTGTGAGCAACCTTGGTATCTAAACAGCAAGATTTTCAGGTCCTTTTGCAGAGGTAGTAGTCTGAGAGCTTTGGAGCTTCCAACTGTACTGCCTTTAAAGTTTTGAGGCGTGAGGCTTGGGACTTGAGCTCCTTGATCCATATGAGCAGAGCTGCTGGATCAGACCAAGGGTTGGTTTAGCATAGTGTCCTGTCTCAGACAGTGGCCAACAGCTAATGTTTACAGAAAGCGTGTATAAAAATTGCTAATATAAAGTGGCAGAGGCTTTGGATGTATCATTAGATATATTCTAGTTAGGGTATTTTCCAGGAAGTGGTGCTTATGGACTTTCAGAGCTAGAGGTTACGGCCAGGCTGTTGAGTTTAGTAACCTTTGGACCTTTCCTCTTGTGCATTTGCCTAATTTTTATTCTCATTGGTATTTCTAACTCAGTTCTATTAAAGCGCTTCCTGTAATGCAATATTTCAATTTTGAAACAGTTAAAAATTCTTTCCAAATGGCACTTCAGAATTTCTGTTTTTTGTTCTAATCAGAATGAACTTAAATATTGCTTTGGAATAGAGCTTTCTATTTTTAAAGCCTGTATTTTAAATATGGTGCTATGGTCCACACTTTTTTTTTTTCTCCCTCAATTTTCCTTGCTCTTTACTAAGTGTCGTTAATTGTTAGCTATAGGATAGATATCTTGTTGCTACACAGCGTTGTCAATTTTCTTTTTGTATTAAAATATACTATTTTTCTGACTTATCTATATTTTAAGTTAATTTTGATGTCACTATATCCTATGCTAAAGATCTTCTTTCTTTTTAATTACGTGCTCACTTTCTTTTTCATGTCTTTTCCATTTACAGTGTCATTACTCCATGAAGAAGGCAGCCTCTTTCCTGGGTATTGGTACAGAAAACATTTACTTCATCAAAACAGATGAAAGGTAAGGAAGCAAAAGCTATAGCTGAGGTCTTAGCATTTTAAAATGTAGTAGTGCTGTACATGAACAACCTATTTGAATGTAACTGAAAAGTTTTAAATCTGTGTCCTTTAGAGGTAAGATGATACCTGAGGAACTGGAGAAACAAGTTCAACGGGCCAGGAAAGAGGTGAGAGGGGGAGAAAGAGCATGAAGGAGAGAGGAGGAGTGCATGGAGGCTGTGTGCTTGTTTGTGTGGAAGGAAGGAAAACTAAGAATGAGTGAAAGCTTAAAAATAGGGCAGTTAATGTACCAATATTTTTATTAGAGAGTGCAATGTGCTTGCCACAAAGTTGTGGAAGAAGCCAAGACTCTCAGATGTTATGCTCTTCGGGGAGTAAAATGCCGCAAGGTGTTTGCTACTAGCAAGTCCTGAAGTATTTAGCTCACTTCTGTATCTAGTATTTCTTTTGCCCTTAATCCTTTTTCAAATGGATGCAGTATCTGTTTTCCCTTTAAAAGGAAATGGAAATTGTAGGTTTTACAGTTACTACAGCAGTCATTGCTCTATCCTCTGCAGTGAGCAAGAGCTATAAGATGTGACTTAGTCTCTAGTATGCACAATAGTTCTATAAATGCTAAATTTGGTCCTATTTAGTGCTGTAACAGAGTGCAGAAATTCTCTTCTGTGCCTTTCTTCCCACAGGGACTTTGTCAACCAGAAAGTCAAGGGGCAGTGTTTGGAAACGTACTGATGCGTGTATTTGAACAACCGTAATATACATTCTCACAATCTGTTAGCTAGCAATTATTACAGTTGACATAATTTATGCTAGAGAGCTTGGGGGATTGAATGTGGCTGAGGCACAGAAGACCTTTTTTGAGTAGATCACCTTATCTCTTACTGCTCCTGTCGGTGCATCAGAGCAGTATCGGGTCAGAGCACAGTCCTTAGACCCTGATCTGGCAATACCAAGCAGCTAATGCAATGTCCGTGGTGTGGACAATGCCTTTGATACCCTACCATTGTTGCTGATAGAGAAGGCAAGGCAATGCTATGTCTTGCACTGCCATGACCCAAATAGCTTTTGCTAAGGCCTGTGTTAGATGTATCTTCTGCCCATCAGCCATCTCCCCTTTGAGTTTCATGCTAGGTAGAATAACTACTAATACACGATGGGCGCAATTATCTGGCAAACTCTTTTGTTTGCCCCTTTTTGTACCTTTGCGTTATCAGTGAAAAACAGCATGTACTTCAGTCATTTTCAGCAAGCTAGGGTGGGAAAAAGGGACTGAAATACGTTGAGTGAAAGAAAGTAGGCTAACAGGGGAACAAGCTCTTTGCTCTTGCAAAAACAAAAGTTTTATTTCTTGGTCTGAAACTTGGAGGTTATTTTAAAAAAATCTGGCATTTATAATCTTAAACAAAACAAAAAAGTCAACCTCAGTGCAGTGCTCTGCAATTTAAAAACAAATGTTCTATGTTTAAAATGCTCTTGCTCACAGAATTCTTACTTTTGAGAAACACTATTTCACTTGCCTTTAAGCAGAAGTTACAGGCATATGGAAAGGTTTTCATTTCATCAAAGCTTCTGTAAGTGCATCTGTCCTTGGTAAACTGCTAACTTTATGGACAGACACTTCAGTGAATTTCAGCAAATATTCTAATGACTGTTAGACAACAGAGGATGTATTCTGTAGTGGTAGAACATAGATTATCATGAACTATAAATATCAAGAGTCTTAGGCCTCTTTTTAGAGGATTTAGTCAAGAAAACTTATTTAACTATAATGGTAAGCAGAATAAAAAAATAATTCCCTTCTTTGGGGAAAAATATAATGGTAACAGTAATCATCTTTTAAATTTGTAGAAATCCTGGGTTTATTCCCTTAATTAGTCATGTTACGTGCTGGCTGCTGAGGGAGCTTCGTCTTTGTGATATAGCTGCGGGAGCAAATTGGTGCGTTAAACACACCAGATATCTTTGCCTCACTTGCAGGAGTGTTTTGCACTTGAGCTTCAGGCTGTTTTGCAAGAGTTTGATTGACTTTTGTTCTAGTTTGTACTAAGAATGAATGACCAAGAAGGGAATTACAGGCTGATAATTATTGTGGAAATATGAGACTCATTTAAATGTATTCCAAGGCTACTTTTCACTGCTTTAGCAATTTGTAAAGGAATCTTAAAATTCATGTAAATCTTGTTTATGCACCCTTCTAACAGTCCTCTGCACTGTTAAAGAAGTATAAAACTGTCAGGGTGTAAATGTGAATCAAGCGTATGCGTCCCTGCAGTAGATGTGGCAGTACTTTTTTTTTTTTTTTGAATTTCACCTGAAGTTAAACTACCTTTCCAAAATGACCTGCATATAGAGTTGGATCTTCAGCTGGTGCCCAGATTGAGTGAAACTGCACTGTATTACATCAGCATAGAGACTTGCATCATGTGAGAGGTTTAATAAACTCCAGGGATCCCAGATTATACAATTCAAAAGCAACTTGAATGCCTATTCAGTAGCTTTATTGTCATGCTGTGGGCCAGGTGCTGAAACATGCAGGGGAGTTATTTCAGCATGTATTTACCAGCAAATGAAACTACACAGTCATTTCTGGGGCAGACCCTCAGTTTCATGAAGTTGCTACAAACTCTGCTGATTCTTTTACAATTTCTCCTCCTAAATAGGCATAGGCATATACATTCACGATGGTAGGTGCCAGTGAGTGCACTTGACCCTATCTGCTATGGTAGTTGCACTGCTGGCATTAGTGAAATGGCAAAGCGATGAGCAAAGTTATTGAAACCAAGATGGGTGGCTTGTGATGGCTGTCTGAGGCTGCAAGCCTGACAAAAGCTTCCTCATCCTGCCGTTATAATCTTAAAGCTCTCTGAGATTTACAGCTGTCTCCCTGCTAATGTTAAGCTACCACTTACAGCCCTTCCTATTTTTTCAGAAAGGGGGAAGAGTAAGAGAATAGCACTTTGCTGTAGACCAGGCATTGGGATCAGGTAGCGATGACTGTCCCAGCTGTAGTATATGCTGGGACATGCAAATCATGTCCCCCAACAAGGGGACAAGGTTCCTCTTCATTAAGCAGATAAAGAATATAGGCATTGTAGAGGTAATGAAGGTGGGATCCTGAGCAGGATGATTTATTTCCTTGCATGAGTAGCCTGCTGGCTGAACTAAGAGCTTTATTTGTATTAGGGAGAATGGCCGCAAATGGGTAGTAAGATTTAAAAAGATTGAGCAATGAAAATCAGTGTATGAGGAGAAATGTCAAATATCCAACACACTTTCATCTTGACAAAACTAGCATCTATATCAGAACAATCTGAAGCTGGTGAAGTCTGCCCTGTGGTAGTGTTAGCTGGAAATGCTTTTCCTATAAGAGTCAGCACTTTTAAACACAGTGCCTCCCACGTGAGGTTCTTGCTGCTGAGAAACTAAAGTGGAGATTGTCACATCTCTGTCCTACTTTCCTAGACCTTGTTACACTTTAACTCTCCAAATACATTAGAGGAAAAGAGTGGTGCAAATGACAGTTCTGTTTTGAATCTTTTTGCAGGGGTCAGCACCGTTTCTCGTCTGTGCTACAGCAGGCACAACAGTGCTGGGAGCATTTGATCCTCTGGATGAAATAGCCAATATCTGTGAAAAGCACGGCCTCTGGCTTCATGTTGATGTGAGTTTGTATACTGTGTAGTTTGTTTAGCATTGCTTTCGTATAATTGCCATTTTTCTTTTACTATTGATGTTTCTATATAGTAGTAAGTTGGGCCTTAACTTTTTGCATGGAGAACAGATGCATTCTGATTCCTCTCTGTTCCATGTGCTGAAAACCAGCAAATAACTTGGCTATGACATGCTGCCAATGTTATTTTGTTATTGTCTCGTTATATTTCAAAACGCTTTTAAAATCAATTCCTTTTTTCTTCTTGCTGCTGCCCAAAAACCACATCAAGGATGGTTATATACAAATATAGCCTCGAATATTTTCCACATCTTATTGGGGAATGGATACATTAGAATTGTGGTATATGGTTCATATGGGTTAAAATAAAGGTATATCTCAGACTTAGCCATCCATAAATTATTCTATTTCATAATTCCAGATTTGAATCTCCTGTAGTTCCCCTTAAGTTCTCCTAAATTGCTCCAATTTTTTTCTTCTCTCATTTCCTTATAGTTCTAGTTTTAGGTATTAAATTCCATTCAGGAACCTCTTTAGAATAATTATTGAGCCCTTGTTATTACCTGGAAGACTTAGCTGAAATTTTTTTTCTAAAATTAGGTCTTGTAAACTGGATTCTCTTTGTAATGAAGATAACAAAAGAATGCCTTGACTAAAGTCCGTGGAATTGAACCTGGATTTATACAGATAGAGCAATAAGAGAATTTGGAGCGGCATTAATGGAGATTTTTAGGTCTGCTTTAAATTTTTGAAGGGTTTATTTAATGTTGATTATTTAAAGAAAATGACATAGACGATGTGCATTTCAAATAGAAATGTCTTACAGACATTAATGAATAAAGTCTCTATATGCAAGTCAAAAGTTTTCTTATTGACTTGGAGGAAAAGCTACAGAATTCAGCCGTAGTGTTTAAAGTGTCTGTAAAGCCTCCTGATGGATGTGTGCGGGTTAGAATGGCCTAGCAGACCTTTCAGCAAAAGTGCAGCATTCATATTAGATGCTAGTCTCTTGCATGTCTGCTTATAGTCAGTGGGAACGTGAGTGCCTTCAGAGTCTGTGTTAGATCTTAGGTAAGTTGAATAGACGCAGCTGGAGCATATCTCCAGTGGTTGTGGGAGGACAACGAGTAGTCTCCTAACCTACTTGCTGTAGCTGAATAACTAAAAATAGAGGGGCTGAGCCTGGGCCGTATGCTGAGCAGTAGGCAGTTGCTAGTGTTCTGCATAGTTAGCTTGTTCAATTTCAGCCTTGTGTTAAGCTAAGATACTCACTGTTACTCACTGTCTTGAAAATAATTTTCTGTTTTAACAGTGACTGTAGCTGTCAGATGTTAATTGATTCCCAGTTTCCCATAAATTGGATAGTCTGTGGTCTAGAAGACCAATTTTTCTATTAAAATGTGATTCATGTTATGAACCTCTCAAAGAATTCTTAACCTGGGATAATTCTTGGGAGTTTTACTGGTATTTTTGCTTCTTTCTTTTCACTCTGTAGGAAGAGTTGAGTGGATGGTTGTTTCTTTTTTTGTTGAAAGCGTCTCACAAGTTTTTATATGGGAATAGGGTATGGGAAGGAGACTGAAAGCTTTCACTGCCATTTTTGAACAACATCAGGTGTGCAGGTATATACAAACCTATGGTAAAATGGGCAGACTGTAATTCATGTGATCTTTTGCACTCACAGCACCACTGGAAATAGATTTACTAGAATGATATGTGAAAAGGTACAGTGAGCCCAAGCATCTGCCATTCAGAAGTAGTGTGCAAGAAACAATGAAGTATTGTTGGAGTTTTTTTTGTTTGTTTTTTAAGCATCCTGTCTCCCTCTAGCCTGATAGAGGAGAAAATAATATTTCAAAGCTTTGAGGATCTGCATTCCTTTGAAAGGAAGCCAGGAGTCCTTTCTGGCTTCATGCTGAATGACTTACACATTGTGCAGTCTGATTTATAGCAAGTGAGTACTGCTTTTTTGGTCTGTTGTAACTTTGAAGGAAAAAAATGCAGTACAATTTACAAAAAATTTACAAACAGGGAAAATTCTGTCTAATTTATGACTTTCTTGTATCATTGATGTAAATCAGGATTATCTACTGCAAATGGTCTCAAGAGCTGTTTGTAAGGATGTTTTATATGAGTGTCAGTGGAATTATTTCCAGTTTTACAGTGATGTAGCAAATTTCAGAATATTTTCCATTGCCAAAAACTGATATATTTGCTTTAGGGAGACTCCTCATTAAGTCTGAAACAATAAAGTTCATGATCCTTAGGAAGGGCAAAAGGGAGAACATCAACATAAAATCAGTGGGCTTTGAGAAGATAAACTCAGAAGCAGCAGATAAGTTTCTGTGTGGAGACCAACCTAGAGGGGGAAAAAAGTTAAGAAAAATCATTTTAAGTAGAAAATATCAATGGAATAAGCCCAAGCTATCTCAGCAGTCAAGCCATTCAACAGTCAGGACCATATGCAGGGACCGTAACCAGGCTCTTTTTGTGCACATTACCGTAATCATCACACATTCCTGTTGGTTATTGTATCCTGTCATACATCTGTAATGCCTTTCTTGTTCTGCATCGTCAATATGCACTCGAACTCCAGCAATTGCATATGTCATATTGTGTTCATGTAGCTTTAAATACCCTGTATGGGTATTTCCTCCCTGCTGGCCCTTTATGACACTTTTTCCACATGGCTAGACAAGAACAGAAAATCTGATTTGAACTATTAGCCTGGGCTTACGTAGTACGTTTAATCACACTGCAAACACTGTCATTCATATCATTCAGCTGTAAACAGTTTGTTACATATGAAATACAGTCATTTTCTCACACCTGGTTACCAATTACATTGCAGTAGGGCACAGCTGATAACGTTAATCTTCATGTGTTTTGAGCTACCCAGCCTAGCTGTCAGCTGGATTTTTTTTTCATTAACAAAATGCATCAATCCAGACTGATGCACCTACCTTCCTTCTCTAGCCTCATGCATGGAGGAGAAGCAGTTAACTTTACTGTGTCTTGGGAGTCTCTTGGGAAATTCTCATCAGAAGGCCAGGGAAGCACTGCCAAATGGCAACTGTGATAGTGAATGAAAACCTGTCTGGAAAATCATACTCAGAGTAGTTATCAGTGGTTCACTGTTGAAAGAGGAGTATATGTTGAGCAGGATTCCACAAAGGTCTATCTTGGTTTAGATTCTATCCAGTGTTTTCAATAAGAACTTGGATGAAAGAGTATGCCTATTAAATTTGAAGATGACGTGAAGATGACATGAAGCTACAGGAGACAGTGGGAGGATAGGATTAGAAATCAAAGGGGTCTTGACAATTTGGAGAAAAGATTGAAAAAAATAGGCTGCAGTTCAATAAGGATAGTGCTCTAGGTTTAAGCTGTAATAATCAGCTGCACAAACACAGGCTGGGGAATTTTGGCTAGCTAGATCTGCAGAAAAAGGTTGAGGGGTTGTAACGTATCATGTTAGCAGTTTTAAGCATTTGCAAAGAAGGGTAAACATCTTACAGAATTAAGAAGGTAACTAATTAATTAATTCCTTCTACTTTTAGCTCCATCTGCTTTATCAAGACTGTGTCCAAATAAAAACCTACCTTTCAAGAAGGTTAAGGACCTCCAAGAGAAAGACTAGAGCAGAGCAGTGAGAATAAATAGAACCATGTCTAGAAATCGTGACTAATGAGGAAAGACTGAAAGTACTGAAGTTCTTTAGACTAGAAAAGACAAAGAGACAACATACAATAGTCTATAGATACTTAAAAAGCTGCTGCAAAGAGACAGGGAATAATCTATTTCCTGTGACCACTGCAGTTATTACAAGAGATAATGTTTAGGACTGACATCTTAAATCTGTAGGGTTGGTATTGTTAAACATGAGTGAAATGACCAAGTTGTGCAGCCTCCATCATCAGAGGTCTTACAAACAGGCTAAGCCAGTGAGTCCCGGTGTTCTTAGGTGCCTTTTCATTTTTGTTCGTCCTCAGCCTTGGGTCCTTAAGGACTTGGTCTGTTCCCTGGGGAAAGAAGCATGGAGTGCAAATTCATCTGTTAGTACTGTGGATCAAGGGAGGACAGAACGATGGTGGAGGTGCCTGGACCAGCAGTACTATCGTTCCTCTCTTCCAGATGCCCAGCAGTGTTTTTTAAAGGAAGGCGGAAGGCAGTGCCAGTAGTGCTGTGAGGGCAGTGATTGTTGATGTCTTTGTACCTTATCTTTTACTTTGATGCTAATCCCAAGCTGGTCGCATTTGTTGCGAATCTCCGCAATAGACAAGCGCCTGTTGGAAATGAGATGGGTATGGTTGATGCTGCCTTTGGGAGTGGCACACTGATGAGATGACCTCCTGAGGGTCTTTCTAGTTCTGTTGTTCTGTGGCAGTGTGAAAACGTCAACCTTTTCTAATACTGACATTGTACTTTGGGGTGCACTTTTTTTTTTAAAAAAAAAGGATTTGTTGTATCACGGTGGGTTGCTTATGAATTGTGAAAAGCAGGAAATAACTTAGTGACTGTTATGACTTTCTTGAATTGTAGAACAAGAAGCACCACATCTGGCTATAGATAAGAAGGCTAGTTTGATTGTCCTCCCATAACATGGCTAAACTGGATAACTGGGGAAACCCAATTTCAAGTCATGCTCCTGCCACAGGCTAACTGTGCAGTTTGGGAGAAATATTTTCTACCTCAGATCCCGTCTGTAGAATGAGCAGTTCTCTTTCCTTGCCAGGAGTGTTGTAAGCATGACAAAATAAAATATGATGGGATGCCTGTGTACTGCATTAATGAGAATTACATTAAGACAAGTCATTAACCCTTCATTTCCCTTGTGAGCCTGTGCCATTCCAGTCTCCTAGAAATGGCTGATCTTAATGCCAATGTATGGCCTGCGAAGCAAATACCGGTGCTAAATTGATAGACCAGCTCTTGCAGCTGTTTCTTTGAAAACAAAAAAGTAAAAATCAAAAACCAACCAAACATGTTCTCAGAAATCTTCATCAGTGATTTCTTTATTACACCAAAATAAATACATTCTTTTAAAAATAAGCGGAGTCCTGGTGTTATGTGGACTGATAACTCCTGTGCCTCTGTGAGGAGGCTTGCTTATTTCACAGGGAATTTACTTAAGTAGATTCTGCCTGCGTGGACATTAGAAATCCTTTTTTAAAAAATATGTTTATAACAACTTATTGATGTAGTCTATGACATGTCAACTGTTTTTGTTGTTTTTCCTCTTGTGGACAAATGTTTTTGAGAACTGGAGATTCATTGCAGCTGGTGGGTAAAATCTGGGCCCTGCTGAATTCATGGATAAGAATCGCCTTATGTAACTTGAGTTGCCCAAAAAGTTAAACCTGTAATATACTCTTGTTATCTGGGCTTCTTTGGTAGCCCATGGAGAGAGACCGACATCTGCAAAAGGTGTTATTCAAATATAGGTATCTAGAATAGAGAAGATGACTCTTGAAAAGATGTTTCAGTGGAGAGCAACTGACTACAGAGAAGGCCTAAATGCCTTTTAGACCGCACACCTAGTTCTTGGGCAACCCAGGGTGGATGTGGTGAGTCTTGCTCCATTTCAGCCTCAACTGGATCGCTGACAGCAGAAAAGCTGCTGTTGCCTACATACTGACTTCACTTTTTATATCGAAATTACACGACATATTTGAACCTGGACTTTGAAACTAGCAGAGATTATCATTCTCTCCTCAGTTTCCTGCATGAATTTCTCAAAGGAAGCTGCTAGCATGAGAACGATTTGCAAAGTGGAGTTTTCTGCTCTCACTGCCTAGGTTAGGTTTAGTCTGTGGGAATGGAAGCGCCCCTGATTCAGTATCAGGAATGGGACTATGCAGAATCTCTTCAATTAATACCCTTGCTTTCTCGGGGAGGGCCACAGAGTTTGTGGCTCGCTCAATGGCACGCAGCACCAGCTCCTCTGTTAGGCATAGCTACAGGCAGCCATCTTTATTTCAGTGGGATTGTACTGATGATACTATAGGCAGATTTAGCCCACTGACTATGTAGTAAACTTATTTAAAATGGGATAAAACTTATTTCAAGTCATTCAATGAAGCCTTATGAAACAATGCAAAGAACTTTATACAAATAACATTGTCTTGTGTCTGTAATGTTCCAACAGGCATCTTGGGGTGGCTCAGCTTTGATATCGAAGAAGCATTGCAAGCTTCTTTATGGCATCCACAGGTAAGTCAGCTAAGTTAATGAGTACACTTACCAGGGACAGAGATGGAGGAAGCATAGTCCAATGTCCTCCAGGGGAGCTGCATTTTTGCAAATATATATTTTTTTTAATTGGAGAAACTTCTAAAGTTAGAGGCATGTGGAAAAAAAATTCAGACATCTGATATATCTGCTTGCAGTATGTTTGGTGTTTGGAGATTTTTGACTCTCTAGTACTGTTGATTACAGGTGCTGTTTCAGCTCCCCCTCCTGTGCTCCCCTTTTCCTCCTCCTTTTATAAATTTTATAGGGCTGATTCTGTTGCCTGGAATCCTCATAAGATGTTGATGGCAGGAATCCAGTGCTGTGCTCTTCTGGTGAAAGACAACTCTGTAAGTTCGCCTGTGTGGGGTTTGGTGGTGTGTTCTTTTATTTATTTATTTATTTTTTATTAATGCAGTAGAGTTTCATACTGTAATATGGTGGAGGATGAATAAGGGAGCAGAGCCAAACTGATCCAAGTTACTAAACTCACCGGTAGTCAAACTTTGCAGCTTGCGCCCCTGCTAATTTAACTTCTATGCATGATTTGCGTTCAGAATCGTGTTTTGTCGCCTGGAACTGCAGCACTTAAACACGAGGCTCATCAAGGTCCCAGAACAGTTGTCATCCATTGGGACTGCAGCAATCTGTCTTTTTTTTTTTTTTTTTTTTTTAAAGAATGCTATCTAGTCAAAGCTACACCATGTGTCTCCTTGCATGGGTGCACCAGAGTAGGAGAGGAGAGGGATAGGAGTCAGCACAAGAGGCTCAGTATGTGTCCTCTTACAGAGTATGGGGAGGAACAAGCCCTCTGTGCCATATTAATTTATTAACTTTCAGCTTTCACTGTAGCAATGCTGAGCCTTTTTCTTCTCACTCTGCTAGTTTTTCATCATCACCAGGGTTTTTTAGGCTTTCAAAAAGCCATGACTAATTACGAGATCTAGAAAGCAAATAGCAGAGATCTGATTCTTAAGTGGCACAGAGTGAGATGAGTCTGTGATCTGAAAAAAGTATCCGCTTGCATCTGTGTGGAATTCTTCTCTGTTAATAAAGAAGCCAGTAAGAGGTTAATTATTTAAAGCACAGTACCAAACTCAGCGCTACTATAAGTCCATTGTGTACCATCAGGGATGAGTTTTAGTTTATGCTTTGTAAGTCATGAATGACTCAGAACATCACTGGGATATGGAGCCCCTGAAGTTTGCACCACTGTTTTGTGTCATTGGTTTGTAAGTCACTTTTCCAAATCTCTGTCAAAACAGCTGATAGTTTCTATTGAGCTCCTGGTGGTTAGCTGTTCATGTAACTCCTGGCGCGGAGGACTGAATAGCACAGATGTTAATCAGCTTTTTCTTGGAGCTGATCACTCCAAGTCATGGATGAGACAAGTCAGGACAACTAGGGAAAGTGGGTCACCTTGTTTCCTGAATTGCAGACTCCAAGAGTATCCGTGCATTGTTTTACCTTTACTCCAGGATGAAAAACAAGGGTGGTGGGGGGAAGTTACTGACTAAGGTGAATGTAATCTCTCAGTTACAGGCTTGGGAAGAATTCAGTGCTGTATTTTTAACTAATTAGGTCCAGTATATATATACAGTCCCAGCTAATGATTAGACTACTTAAACTGCATATTGCAAATTCTTCTTTAAGAAAGAGGAAAGAGACTGAGAGGAAAAAGATACTCCAGCTGCCTTGGCATTTAGAGTCACTTTACAAACAGTGCTGCAACTTCAGGGCTCTGACAGCCTTTCTGTATTCTCCTTCCGTGGCATGTAATGCCTAGCAGAGCAATCCTATTTCACCTCTAAATCACTGTGATGCAGTGTTGTGCCAGAAATACATATAAAGCTGAATCCTTGGCAACTGAGGAGTGAAAGCGCAGAGGTATTGCTGATTGTTAAAGTCAGATCTTGATGAACAGTGAGATATGTTTCAGAAAGCAGAAGACTCCTCTGCATGAGGAGGAGAGAACGTTTTACTGTTCAGTGTTTAATTCCTCACAAATGGTGTTTATGCATTTTGTGCAAGTGCTAGTGTAGACTTTATATGCAAACAGAAGCATGTGCAAATTTGGGTACTTTATTACCAGCTTTTTGAAAGTGCTGGAGTGTTATTTTTTAAGGAAAAAATCAGATGTGTATTTAAGACACTTTGACAGAAAGGCCTTGCTTTGCTTTGATCCCCTGCATACAAGATCTGGAGAAGGGAAGCTGGACCTAGTCTCCCATTTCTGATTAAAGAATGAAATGTATTTAAATATTTTCCCATCAGATTTTAAAAAAATTGATAAATTGCAGTGAAATGCTGATAAAAGAATATCTTCCAGCCTTAAAGACACAAAATTGAAATGGTTTCCAGAGGCAGTAGAGATGGAAATATGTTTGACCTTGTTAGAATGGAGAAGCATTTTCAGCAAAGGGAAAGGAGATTGGTTAAGCCTCTGTAAAAACTCAGATCAATGACAATAGTTCTTCAGTGCTTAAGTGCCTAAGAAATGTGCAGTTACCCTTCTTTTACAGCTATGCGCTGAATAGCTTTCAACCCTTCTGTAATAAAATCAGCTTTCTCAGAACACAGTTACATTGCTCTAGCGTGAACTGCAATGACTGTTTAAACACAAAACTAGATGGACAGATGAGCCAACATTCTCAAAAGTTTAGTGAGTGAACTTTGTTCTCAGGCATTCTTAAAATGCTATTAACCAGGTCTGAGTTGTCCATACTCCTTTAAGTCCATAAAGCTACTCCAACTTGTGCTTTCTAGAATCTATATAAACATGAGTATAATCACCATATAAATAGAGAACTAATGTTTATCACAAATATCAAAGTTCTGTGGCTTTTTAGGTCTTTAGTTATAGCACTAGGGTAGGTAATTAGCAAGCAGTTCTAGGTAATGAACAGAACTTTCACTTACTAGTTAAAAATAAAAACTAAAAGAATGTCGGTAATGAAGTCCCACATTAGTACAGAACATTATTGATTGAGATGATCATGGTAGATCTACAGTATAATTTCTTCCTCATCATTGTCAATATCACAAAGATATCTACTTCACTGATTTATTTCCAGACCAGCTGCAGGAAATAAAGTATTTGCCTTGCTTTCTGTTTGGGGTTAGTACAACTGAGAGCTCCTTCGCACCTCTTGAAGTGAATTGCCGGGATGGCCTTTTATAGCACACTGCTTTTCAGAAATTTTCAAGTATGCCATTGAAAAGACTGTCCTTATTGCTTCTGATGAAGCAAATCAGGAAGATGTTTGTCTTGGCGTGGGGGAGAACAGTTCATTTTTTTTTTTTTTTTTAAAGAACAAACTGAAATTTACTTGTAACTAGCAATGGAAATGGAAAATGATGAAAAAGCTTGCTGTAGATAAGTGGGTGTTCAATGAGAAAAATCTGTTTGGAATTATGTACTGTAAGAAATTGGAGCTCTTATATATTGATTTCAATATCACTAATTCTTCATTTATTTGTCATTAGCAGCTAACAGCTACTAACAATAGACTTAAAGACAAAGGCTGTTTGAAACGTCATAGTGGAGCATGGTCTGTATGAAAATAGTTGCATTTTTCTGAAACTTTGAGTCATAGTAAAATGCAGAGCACTGCCATGAGCTTGTAAACAAGGTGTAGAAAGTGATAAAGGACGCTGAAGGAAGAATTTCAAATTTGTCAGATTTCCTAATGAAATGTTTGAAATTGTTCTGAACAGATGGAACAGCTTAGTTACTGTATGGAAGCCGTGGGGTTCTTTTGGGGACTGTGAATACTCAGTTAGAAAGCATACTTTCTTTTCCCAATTTTTTTCCACTTCGTTTAACTAGGAAAACTGAAACTTCTTTTTATGTCTTCACCGTTTTTGAATCTATTACTTCTGAGACAGTGGCTATCAAGGAGTAACTACTTTCTTGAACACAAAATTTACCTTGGATTTTCTTTCTTTGCCGTTATCTTCTCCTCCACCCCAACAGCCTACATTACGACTTTTCCTTTCCCTTCCTTCCCTTCTCCACCTCGCTCCCTGCATTGTGCTGGCATATTTCCTTTATATCTCACAAACCATGATGTTTCTTGTTGTGCGAGCCCTAGTGATGTGCTGGAGGATGTCTCTGTACTTGCCTCT